CACATTTAAAAATGCCAAGAAACAATTTTAAATACGGACAAAACGGATGTTGATAATACGCTGCATATCTTTCCTGCTGCTAATACACAAATCTATATTAAAGCTGCACAAATACATACATACATGTATATACCTGCTGTGTGCATAACAAAACATTGAATTAAAGCATAATGCCCTCTCTGCAAAAGGGTATATTCATTCAGAAGCTAATAAAACCAAGGAAGTGTGTGAAAGAAGAGGCGGCTAGAATGCATGTGTGTGAGTGTGTAGCAAAAGAGAACGTTCGAAGAGTGCGAAAGCTTGCGAAAACGGGCGAGAGCACGCGAGTGAGTGGGAGAGTGAGATATGGTGATGATGGGGTGTACGGTACATACATATATGCAAATGTGGATGAGATGGAAACAACAACAATTGCCGCAACAATGGTGAGCGCAAGAGATCGGAGATCGAGAGAGCAAGCGAGCAGGCTGGCAGGTGGATGGATGGATGGTCAGGTGTATGTGATGAGAGCGAATGGAAATGAGTCAGTGCGAAGGATTAAAAAATAGAGGCAGCGAGCAGAGCGGCAAGAGCGAAGCGTTTTTTGTTTTTTTTTTTTTTTTGCGTTTCGTGCGGTAATTCGTTGTGGATCATAATTTGTTTTTTTTTTTTTTTTTGTTGGATCGTATTTGTTATTGTTGTTGTTTACCCTCAATTTCCACTGGGAGTATGTAATTGGCAATTTCTTATCTTTATTAGAAACTGTGCTACTATTTCTTAACAGACGTCTAGAGACCTCATCGTCACCACCTCCAGATCCAGTTCCTCCTGCCGTTCCAGTATGGCCGCCAACACCAATGCCGGTGGGCAAATGATTGCGTCCGTTGTGCAGGGCCAGCATTTGTGCGGCAATCACTGCATCCGTTTGATCGCCACCGCCACCGCCACCACCGTTCAGGTGCTCCAGTGCCGTTGATTGCCGATAGCCGGGCTGCCACGCCAAAGCCGCATGCTCGGCGGCGGCACCCGTGCCCAGCCGCAGGCTATTACGCGTCTCATCGTTGGCCAGATCCACAGCCGAATGATAGATGGTGTTGCGCGATTGTGACAGCGATTTGCGGTGGGCAGCCGCCGCCGCAGCCGCCTCCGAATCCGCCAGCGAAATGGTGTCAAAGTACAGGCTCTCGCGCTCGTCCATCTCCGATTCGGGATAGTCGTAGTCGTGGGTGCGGACTGCAACGAATTGGGCATTTGAGGGATTAATCGGGAATGTTTGGACTAGGCAATAAGGTAGGTTTTAGTACGTGTATTACGAGCAAGTGAATGATGAGATGACATTATGGAACGATAATGATGATGGTGATGATGATGATGATGGATGGACCCATAACCCGAGCTACACCAATTTGGGCACCATAGTCGATTAATCCGACTGAAGGTAATCCCTTAGTACAAAGCATTTTTTTAATTCTGATTTTAAATGAATTCCTGCCGCATTTTCTCTGCTTTTTATTTTCTTTTTAAGCTTTAGAATCGGAATATAACCAAGTAAATTGTTGGCTTTTATTTAAATAAATAATTTTAAAAAATAGGAGAGGGAGATGTCTTTAAAAACACAGAACTCTAGTTTACATATAAAATATGCTCTGGTTCGTAAAAGTATGTAAAAGCCAAGAGAATTCAAGAGAATTTATGGAAATGCATTGGTCTATAAAGGAGTTCCCCCTGTCTGTACTATATGCATGAAAATTAAAACAATTTATATAGCATACAAATTGGTTAAAGCTAACAAAATTATAATTAAAGTTCCCTAAATACAATAAAAAGTGTTATTAAATATTATTATTATTTAATTCGATTTGTTACGCGTCTTGTAGCAGCGCCCCTCGGTTGGTTATTGCATTTCTGACTGGTATCTGCTTTTAATAAGCTTTTACCCAAACAACAACAACAACAACAAAATCATCTACATTCTTCAACTCCCCCTCTTTTGTTACTTTTATCAATAAATAAATTCTGTATTCAAATTAAAGAGGCCACATCGGTATTGGTATAAATTATCAAGCCTTTCCCACATATTAATTACTGATAAGTTTCGCTTAGTGCTTCGATAGTGCCCTGACATAAAGTGCAGATAATGTGTGGGGAAGAGGATGATGATGGCATACGATTCCGTTCTGCCTGCTAATTCGGTGGCAAAACTTATCAGGGAGCCACAGCCACAGCTGTTGCTGCTGCTGCTTGGCTTTGCAGTCAATTATATAATTGATGCTCCCGTTTACGATATGGCTGGATAGATGATGGTGTTTGAATGGTTGGTTAAGGGGTGGATGTGAGTTTGATGATCCGTTTCCGGCGTACACAGAATATACACAGAATGAGAACCAAAATCGAAACCCAATACAAAAAGGTGTGTGTGCTCGTTCAACAAAAAGTACGTTCAACAAAAAGAATAGTACGTTCCAAATACAATTACATATAATACAAATACAATAAAAGAGAAGACAAAAGACACAGATCGGTTGGGGTGTGGTGGGGTGGGGTTGAGCGCAATGATCGAGTGATAATGGAATTTGTTTGATCATTTTTCATTTTAATTTATTTCTATTTGTATTTATTTACCCGCCGAATACATGGTGAATGGCAGAGAGGAGGTAGAGAAAGTAGCGTGGAGAATGGCAGTTTATTTTGTTTTTTTTTGGTTTTGCTTTGTGTGTTGTTTGATTAGATCCTTTTTTTTTTGGCTTCGAGGGCTTCGGGCTTCCTCTCCTCTCTCTGGTTATCGACTCCTGGCGAGGATCCACGTCGTTTCCACACACGAACGGGGGGCGGCTGCGCAGAGGCGCCTACACCCGGGCATAACGGTATTACACGACGACGACTGAGAGAGTAGCGCAGGCGGATAAAAAGAGAGACCACACACAGGTGACGCAGAAGAAATGTGAGCCACTCAAACAAAATTAAAACCAAAAAAAAAAAACAGCAACAGAAAATCGCACGCACACAAAAGTCGCCGCTGCCGCAAAAAAAAAAAAAGAAACACAGAAGAAATGATGTCAGAGGGGGGGTTACGAAAAATATTAGAAGGCCCCCAATAAAATGCGTACGCTCGCTCGCGTTGTTTGCCGATTACTGAAAAAACCAAATACGAAACAAAATACGCTCGTAGCAGAAAACATTTAGCTCTGCTCCGGGGGGTTAACCAAACTCAGTAGCCAGACAGCCAGCCAGCCAGCCAGCCAGCCAGCCAGACCCAGCAGCGCGCCCCAGAACTAGAACTAGAAACAGCACCAAAAAAAAAAAACACCAAACACCAAACACACACGCAAAATACAGACATTAGTATATAAAGCAACAAGAACAATCAACTGATTGCCCAAATAGAGGCAGGCAGGCGTGCAGCCAGATGTGACGTTGCACAGTGCTCGGGGAATGATACGGCAAATGGGTTGCCAACGCTAATGAGGGTATCAGAAATTTGTAGAAAAAGAGGTTTAAGTGGGCAGATATCTGAGCAGATTCAAAGGATATATCATCCGTATTTGCCAGTTTCTAAATCAGGTGTAAATCTCCCTTAAAACTGATGAAGGACTGCTCTCAATTCAAGCAGTTCTTCACTGCTATCAATTCAAGCAGTTCTTCACTGCTATCAATTCAAGCAGTTCTTTAGAAGGGAATACAGAACTAAAGATGATGTAGCTTCCAGTAATCCCCTACTGGAGATTCTTTTGTTGCATATTAATGATCAATCAATCGATCTTCATGTGGATGTCTAACAGTTTCGTCTATAGTTTCATGTTCCGTTTTATTACAACACTAGTTCCATAAATTATGCCTAATAAATGGATTTCTCTCAATAGAAAATCCATAAATTATAGTTTTTTCTTTACAAAATTCGAAGCTGTGCTGCTACGAGAGCACTGTGTGTGTGGGCGTCCAGCTAATATGCTCAGTCGTGATAGGGTTACCGCCACAGATACGACTGGCAGAGAAATCATTGACCTTGACGGAATATCAAAAATTCGGTGGGAATACTGGGACCTGGGACTGGGACTGACTCCAAAATGTGGTTCTGTTTAAGCTACCCAGACGAATGGAGAGGCCGGCCGCATGAACCAGAACGAGTTGTTGGGGTGAAAAATCAGCATAAAACACGGGAGGGGGAACGGCAAAGGTCAAGTTGAAGCGTAAAGTGCAAAAAGAATTTTTGTATTTATCTTTAGCTTGTCTAACAATTTGAAACCTGTTTCACACTCTCTGCCAGACAGCAGACAGACAGACACACGCACAGAGAGAGAGAAATAGAGAGTGAGAGAGAGATGGAGAGAGTCGAGCAGATGTTAAGCCGGAAAATAGTCCAAGACACGCAAATGGAGGCGGTGGCCGCCAAAAGACATTCAAGAAGGAATTCTTCATTGGGAAGCTATTAAAGACAATGGAGGCTACGCTACACTGCCAGCTAGCGAATGGGTGCGCTCGAGTGGTGATGATGCACCACCGCCACATCTTCTTCTAGGCATGAGCGCGTCTCTATATTTAGCAGATTGCATACAGAAATGGTCTCTGGTGTGTGGGCTTGTGGGGGAGGACGAGGACTGCAACTTGGTTAGAAACAATGCGTTATTAGTGCGTTAGCAGGCTTGTGGATTGGTACTAGCAGTCTAACCGCCTGGGGACTCACCTTGGTCAACTCAACCGATTTCTGGTTGTGTGCGGCGGATACAATGCGGTCTTAGTAATTACGATTTACGGCCGCTAGCAGCCAGGTCCCATGTCCACCTGCTGCGACTGTTGCTGCTGCTGCTGCTGCTACTGTTTCCCGCCCCCGCACTTTCACACTCACTAATAATAAAGGTGCAAATATATATTTTAGATCACGGGCAGCAGCTTTTGTTTTGTTAATTTGCACAGTGTGACTGACTTCAGAAATATACTGAAATATACCAGCTCATTTTCAAAATATACAGCAAATACCGTGCCGCTGTAAAATTAACAATCTATCGATAACAATCTATCAGTAAAGTAAACAATAGTACATTTCGCTCATCTCAAACCACTTGACACCACGTAGTAGTTTTGTTTTGTTTGGATTTTGATCTAAATTGAGAATATATAAAGAACTAAGAGCATCCTGCGTGATAGCAGGGCAGCAACATGGTCTACATCGATCGCAGTGAGTGCCAATAACCGTCCTGCCCCAAGGACCCCAGAGATCTGACGTTGTTTATGTTTGTAGATGGTCGCGTCTGGGAGAAGCGTCCTTGGGACTGGCAGCGAATAGTAGAAATATTTTTTAGAATGTGGTTCATCATCAAGCAATTGTAAGTCTAGTATGTGTCCATGGGCTGGTAATAAGCCAAGTTTCTTGAAGATTTCAGACGTTCCTCGGCCCCTTCAGCGGCAGCACAAACAATGATAACCGACGTAATGGTGGCAGCAACGGCTGGGGAGGTGGTGGTGGTGGAGGAGGTGGCGGCGGTGGTGGCGGCGGAGGCGGAGGAGGTGGTGGCAGCGGAGGAGGATTAAGGCCGAACCGACGAATTGGCCGCATTCAGAGTTCCATGTCCTGTGATACTCCTGCTGGTTGTTCCTCCTGTGGTTAAATCATATTTAAATATGGCCAGAATCATTAGAAATCAATTAAAATAGTTTTAATAATTTCTTGCTCGAACATTAACTAATATTTTCTCAGTTTAGTTTAAAAATGTTCATAAGCGAAACCAGTTTTTACCACACAAAGACTAAATTTTTTAAGCTTTTACATATGAAATATGCTTTAGATCGTGTGAAGGAGAAATTTATGCTCCCTTAAATTTCGGAGTTTATATTTTCTTTTATTCATTATAACTCCTTAAGGAAATAAAAAAGTAAATAATATATTATCAAGCCTTTCCACATATTAACTACTGATATGTTTCGCTGAGTACGATTCCGTTCTGCCATACGCTAATTCGGTAGCGCAGAGAACCGTAATGGATTTTAAAAACAATTAAACAAATATTTTTTAATATTTGCCAATATATTAAATATTTTAAATATTAAATTTATTCGGTTTTCGATAAATTTATAATTGTAACTATCGCACCTGTTAGTGCAGTCGATAATCGATAGTACATTTCGCTCATCTCTAACCACTTGACACCACGTCGTGTTATTGTTTTGATTATTGTCCAAATTTTTGAATATAATATAAAGAACTAGGAGCATCCTGCATGTTCGCAGGGCCGCAGCATGGTGTACATCGACCGCAGTAAGTGCAAATAACCATCCCGCCCTGTGGACCCTGGAATTCTTACGTTGCATATGTTCGCAGATGGTCGCGTCTGGGAGAAGCGTCCTTGGGACTGGCAGCGGATAGTGGAACTATTTGTGGGAATCTGGTTCATCATCACGCAATTGTAAGTCTAGTGTGTGTCCATGGGCTAGTAATAAGCCAAGTTTCTTGCAGTTTCCAGACGTTGATAGCCCCCCTCAGTGGCAGCACCAACAGCGATAACCGACGTGGAGGTGGAAACGGTTGGGGTGGTAACGGCTGGGGTGGTGGCGGCGGAGGAGGAGGAGGAGGTGGTGGCGGCGGTGGTGGCGGAGGAGGATTAAGGCCGAACCGACGAATTGGCCGCATTCAGAACTCCATGTCATGCAATACCCCTGCTGGAGGAGGCGGGTGAGGATAGTAGCGGCATCCAGCTCCAAATAACGGACGGATGTCGCGCATATCCCAAGATGAGTCAGATCAAGCAGCACCTAACATGACTCCGATAGCAGGTTCATATCTCGCCCAATGTGGCGCTTATGACGCAGCATTCTTCAACTCAAAATTTGAGCGGATTGCTTGCGGATGCGATTGAACAACTGATATCGGGGTCGCTGTGAAGTTTGGCCATCATACATTGACCCATAAACTAGATCGATTTTAGCCATAATATGTTCAATACTAATCTGATCCCAAGAACACTATTTTTTCTGGTTCTGGCTTTATTATATTTACTCAAGAAATTCTCAAATACAAACACAAATAAATGTTTCAATTTTGCAAGAAACGGCTGTTTTTGATCATTGAAAGTTCAAAGAAATTCAAGTCGGCGTTGGACTTTAATGGAAGGTAAATGCGGCACAGCGACACAGTAATAGATATTATTTTCACACAAGATTTCGCTTTTCCCGTGCAGTAAAAATGCGGAAATTTCATCTCCGCTGGGCTACAATCCCAGTGCACTGGTGAATCAAACCGAAGTGGTTCGCGATCAGCGTTTGGTTATAAAGAAATCATGGGATCTGGCTCTGGGGCCGCTGAAGAATGTAAGTGCCGTGCCGACTGTTCGTGTACAGGCTGCAGACCGAACCTAATAACCTTTGGATCCATTGCAGATACCCATGAACCTCTTCATCATGTACATGTCCGGCAATTCTATATCGATTTTCCCCATTATGATGGTCGGCATGATGCTGGTGCGTCCCATCAAGGCAATGTTCACAACCCAAGTAAGCTCGAAAATGGCCGAAGGCGTCCAGGGCACGGGTCAACGCATAGTCTACTTCCTCGGCAACCTGGCCAACGTAGCTCTGGCCCTCTACAAATGCCATAGCATGGGCCTGTTGCCCACACACGCCTCTGACTGGCTGGCCTTTGTCCAGCCGCAAACACGCTTGGAATATTATGGAGGCGGAATATCCTTTGTTTAGTTTTCTGGCGCTTAGCAACACTGCACACAGCTGCACTCGGACCCAACAGCTGTTCCATCGAAGAAGAAGAAGAGCAACAGCGGTAACAGATGCGGCGCCTGGTACGAAATTGGAATAACAAATTGTTACTTAATGCAAGTACTGGACAGGGACAATGTCTCACCGCCAGGTGTGCGAGTGTCCAGCCGGCTAAGGCAGAGGCCGTTGAGCCAGATAACAATGGATTCGGCTCCAAGTACTGCATGGGCCTGGTAGAGTAAGTGGAAATTACGAGGCCAGCCGAGAATTATATGATAAAACTATATTTTCCCTAGGAAATATGACTATGAAAACTATTTGAGCACCTTGCTGCTGCCGCGGGAGCTGCGACGAGCCGCCTTTGCGCTGCGTGCCTTCAACGTGGAGGTCTCTCGGTCAGTCAGCGGACACGTGAGTAGTGACTGCCATTGCTTGGGTAAACCAAACGTTTCTAAGGGATCTGCACTCTACCCAACTCCCCACAGCAAATAGAGCCTCAAATTGCGAAGCTGCGTCTCAAGTTCTGGTACGACTCCATAGACAAATGCTTTGAGCTGGACTCACAGCAGTCGTATGTGAAGGATCAGCCAGTTCTGCGGGAATTGAAGCATGCCGTGGGTGCCCGCAAGCTAAACAAGATATATCTGCGTCGTCTGGTCACAGCGCGCGAGCGTCCACCCAATCAGGCGTTCGAATCACTGCGGGAACTCGAGGAATACGCCGAGCAGACGTTCTCCTCGCTGTTGCATCTCCTGGTGCAGGTGAGCGGCACCAAAGACCTGCAAGTGGACCACGCAGCCTCCCATTTGGGCAAGGCTCAGGGCATAGCGACACTGTTGAGGGCCATACCACATGCGGGACGTCAGCAGGCGGTCTGTGTGCCCCTCGAAGTGCTGGTGCGGCACGGGGTTAGCCAGGAGCGCATATTGCGCAGCAAGAGCGATGACAAGGGTGTCGAGGAGTGCATCTTCGAGGTGGCTAGTGCGGCCAACACGCATCTGAAACTGGCCCGACAGCTGCACGATCAAGTTTCGCGTCCGGTGCGCAAGATCTTTCTGTGCGCCGTGGCCACCGAAGGTTACCTGGAGCGACTACGACGCGCTAATTTCCTGTGAGTTTTTGCTCGGTTTTCTTGCTCCTCCTCAGCTCACATTCATTTTCAGGCTTACCCACAAAAGCTGCGTGGGACGAGACACCATGCTGCCGCTCCGCCTCTTCTGGAAGTCCCTGTTAAATCGGTACTGAGGAGCATCCCTCAGCTTCAGTCAGGAGTTAGTTTTAGTTTCAAATAAGCCTAAAGCCAAATCGTTAAACTATTAAATTGGAAGCTAATTAAATTTGCAAGGAGAATGTAGTTCAAGTACACAGAAATGGTTAATAATAAATTTGTTAAATTACAAAATGGATAATGGATCAATTTTGAGAGTTAAATTATAAAAAACTGCAAGCAATTTAGCAATTCTCTTGAATTCTGCTGTGGGCGCCATCTGTTGAGACGATAACAATATCGATTAGAGATCGCAAAGGATCAATAGTTCAGTTGGTTGTAGTTAGTTGCTTTCCGCTTTTTAAAGCGGGTCGATGGAAAAAAAGATTTTAGATTTTATAATTGTTTGATTTGATTTGTGTATTAAGAGAATCCCAATCCCATGAACAAAAACGGAGCAGTGTGAACCAGAGGACGACGCACAACAAGAAATAGCACCGTTTTGGCCAGGCCCGCGCCGCGTAAATTATAAACTATAAAATGCATATTTTTTGGCCAAGTAAATAAGAGAACACCCGCCCCAGCCTCTGCGCGCTTCTGTTAGTTACATACGCCTTTCCCCCTTGCAGAATTACCGTCTAGCGTTGATTCCTTTTGTATGTAACGGCACTTTGTGGTGCTGCGTCTTTTGCACACAACTAACGCAACGGAACGTGATAGAAGGTGAGGAGGAGACAGACAGACAAAAACGAAAACGAAAACAGTGCGTGTGCATGTTTGTGTGTGTGTGGCATTTGCAGTGCACTTGAAATCTAACGGTACTCGGTACACTGGCGGGCGTAAAAAAGTGACGGCCAATAAAAATCAGAAGAAGTTGTATTTTCCTCCAATAAATTGAACAAATCTGAAATGAAATTAATTATAATAAAAAAGCAATTATAAAACACACAAAAAAAATTAAAAAAAAAAAACAAAAACCAAAAAATATTTAACATATTTATCCACCAAATACAAAAAAAAAAAAACTACAAAAAAGCAAGGAAAAAAATATTAAAATATATTTATTTAAAAAATCAAGAAAAAACCAAACTATTTTACACTTAACTTTAAAAAAGAAAAAAAACATACATAGTCCTTAAGCCAACACACAAAGAAATTGAAAGCAGTTCGTGCTGGGATCCTATTTTAATTCCCATAAAATAAAGCACGAAACGAAACGAGACCCCAACTGCTTCCAGCCCCGAAAACGAAAACACAAGGGCAGCCCCTCATGTTTGCCACCCAAAGAGACGATATGAAGATCTTTGTCGCCGCAGAAGTTGGTGTCGACGCTGCCACAGGCACTGGAGGAGGGGCCAACAGCAACGCTGGAGTGCTGCCCGTGCAGCAGCAGCGGGAATTTAGGCCCAGAATGACGGCCGTATCATCGCCGGGCAACAATCTGAAGTACAACAGTAAATACAGCAGCAAGACGTCGAATATGCTGAGGCAGGTGACGAGCTACCACAACAGCATCACCAGCAGCATCAATGGCCTCAACGAGGCCGCCAACAACACTAAAAGCCAACAGCAGCAACAGCCACAGATGCTCTATACGAATCACAGTCACTCGTTGGCCAGAAAAAAATACTTTGGTAGCAACAGCAATCTACAGCAACAGCAACAGCAACAGCAGCAGCAGCAGCAATCCTCGTACTACCAGCAACAGCAGCAGCAAAATCTTAACAACAATAATTTGTTAATGAAAAATCAAAATTTAATACAGCATCAAATGTCCGACTGCAAGCTAAGCGATGGCAATAATAATAATGCTCATAATAATAGCCAGAAAACAACAAGCAAATGGCTGAATAACAACAAGAAACGCAGCTCACCATCCACATCCATAGAATCGACATCGTCGTATTATCGCAGCAGTCCCGATTCCTCAACGGAGGCCTCAACCACAAACACAGCAGCAGCCACAAGCTTGTGCAGCAATAGCTCCAGCAACAGTCCCATTGAGGATGCAGAGACCGGCGAAACAGAGCGAGTGAAGCAGCAGCCGGCAGCAGCGGCAAGTGGAGAGAGCCTGAAGGCAGCCAGACCGCCGCGACAGCAGCCATTGAGCTTCTGGAAGACAAACTATCCACAGCAGCCCACCAATCAAATGAAGAATGTGAGTTATACTTACACCCCTAGCCTTAATTAATTAATATTCATTCCCTTTCTAAAGCAGCAGGTGGGAATGACTGTGGCCAGCCAGAAGGAGGCATTGGCTGTGGAGCAGCAACAGCAGGCAGCAGGCACTGTCCTACGAACAGAGACGCAACTCTGGTGGTGGCTATCAGCAGCATCAGCAAAACTATTATCAATATTATTATCCACAGCCCAAGCAGCTGACAATAGCATCGTTTCTGCAAAAGGAACTGCTGCCGGAGGCTCACAACAGCAGCAACAGCAACAGTAGCGACAAAAACAGCAGCAGCAGCAGCAACAGCTTTGGCAGGCATCTACCAACAGGAGGAGGAGCAGGAGCAGGAGCAGGTGCAGGTGGCAGTGGCTACCAACAGCAGCGCTATAGAAATGCACAATATGTCTATCAGCATTATCAGCAGCAGCAACAGCAGCAGCAGCAGGCACAGGCGCAGCAGCATGCCCAACAGCAGCAGCAGCAGACGCAGCAGCAGCAGCAGCATGGCATCAGCACCCACTTTCGGCGTAAGCACAGCGACAATCATGGCAACAACAGCAACAAGAAGATGCACTACAGCCCCGAAAGCATCATTGGGCCACAAAAGTCCATTGAGATATTGCCCAGCAGCAATTTTAGTGCAATGCATCGACGCATACAGAGCGGAAATGGTGGAAAGACTGGCTACTATCAGCACCATTACCATGCGGTGATCGAGGGTGGTGGGGCGGCAGCCACGCCTACCAGCTCCGAGCATCAGAATCTGTACAATCTCACCTACGTAAATGTGGATGTGGATGCCTGCAGCGAGGGAGCGACCGAAGCAGCAGCTAGCACAGCTGCTGGCGTGGCGGCCACAAAAACTGTTGTCGCACCGGCCGCTGGGAAACTGTCGCTGCTGTCGAAGCCCAGCATCACCCTAACAACGGCCACGTCGCCGCCTGTGCTGGGCACCAGCGTACCAGTGGCCATGCCCGTGGCCGGGAATATGTTTGTGCCACCGCCACCGCTGCCGCTGGCGCTGATCTCACCGGTGGCCAACAGTGGCCACAGTCATTCGCCGGGCACGACGCCCGCCAATATGATAAGCTGCGCGCAGCTGGACGAGGCCATTACAGCGGCGGCTGCCAGCGGAACGGGCACGGGCACGGGCACGGGCGCGGGCGAGCAGCAGCCGGCAGCAAGCCACAGCCCCAACAATTATGCTTCAGGTGTGCCATTCCTCATGCAGCAGCCGCCTGCGCCGCCGCACAGCCTCAAGGGACCACAGCAGCCACAGCAGCAGCTCTTCTTTCACTTTGGCGAGGCGTATGCCCAGCCAGCGCCTCCGCCGCCAGCGCCTGCTGGCGTGTGGCCACATCCAAGCTCCCCCTGCTATCCACCCACAGTGTCGCCACACAGCGTGCCTGGCAATCGCTCCGTTTCGCCCGCTCTGTCCTCCAACTCCTCCTCCCACGGCAGTGAGTCCCACTGGAGTGGCAACAGCAACACACGCAGCAACAACAGTCGGTGAGTCGGGTCTCAAAAGGGGGTGGGGGGTCTCTAAAAGCCTTCATTTAAGTGTCTCAAATATAATTAATAAGTGAAATTTGAATTTCAAGTTGTGGAACAACTGACCGAAGGGGAATACCGTGATTTAATGAAAGCCCTGAGACAACATTACTTGACTTGATGTGGAAATGTAGCATAATTAATGTAAAATATCACCTGTCGATAATCTTCCGAAAATGTTAATTTAATTTCCCAAGCAAGGACTTCTATTCCTGCTTTAAAGAAACTTCCAAAGCCAGCAGCAAATGGCAGTTGTTCGGATCAAAGGAAGCCTCTAGACTGGAACGAAAAACGACAAAATACAAATGGGAAATGCGGCGAAATCCTTTTTGTCCCAGAGAGAGTAGGCTTGGACACAGGTCATTGCCAGTTGTCGTCACACAAACCAAACCCGTAGCTCATATTTCTTTATTCGTTCGACTCGACTCGGGAACGTTATAGCAAAACTAGCATAATTCGAAATACTAGTACATTTTTTTCACTTCACTTCACTTCCATTCACTTAACAAAACAAAACCTATTTCGTGTCGGTGGATTAGATTTAAATTGTGTTTAATGTTTAGATTGGCAGGTCCGGCGCTATCCCCGTCGAACGGTGGAGGTGCAGCCGTACACCATACACATATGCATGGCCATCCGCACGGTTTGGCTGCCGCCGCAGCCGCAGCCGCCGCCGCCTATGGGCCACTGCCGCATCGTGGAACAACATCGCCCATAGCCAATAGTCTGCCCTGGTATGAGGTTATACTGCCGCCAGATCGTTATCTGACCCAAGCGCGCAACATGGAGCTGACCGTGCAGCCAGATAAATTGATTTGCCTCTCCAAATACGACAAGTTGTCGCTGCAGATATGGAACCGCTTCCGTGGTGCCCAGCAGACCACAAATAAATTCAAGATCAAGATGCGCCTTTGGCGCTTCCTATTGCTCTGGATGAATGTGAGTATAAAACACTCGCGAACACTCTCGAAAGTGATCTGATCTGATCTGATCTGCTCTCCCTCTTGCATTTTGCAGCCCATGTTCTCCAAGTATCGCATATGGCTGGTGGGCTCGACCATCACTGGCTTTGGAACTGACACATCCGATATTGATATGTGCCTGGTTGGCGGGCCACCGCATCTGCACACACATCAGCTGCAGCATTATCAGCACCACCAACACCAACACCAACACCAGCACCAGCATCAGCATCAGCTGCAGCAGCTGCACCAGCAGCATTATCAACATTCACACAACATGCAGAATGAGAAGCGTGCCGAGGCACTGATAGTGTTGACTCTATTTCAGTCAGTGCTCAAGGAGACAGGTAAGAAAGGTAAAGGGGCAGAGAGTCGCCCACAGCAGCAGTCTCTAAGCGCAGTCTCTCTCTCTCTGTGTCTCTCTCCTTTGCAGGTGTCTTTCGCGATTTCAATTTGATTGAAGCGCGCGTTCCAATTTTGCGCTTCAAGGACATCATCAATGCGATTGAAGTGGATTTGAATTTCAATAATTGTGTGGGCATCATGAACACCTATTTGCTGCAACTCTATGCACAGCGTAAGACAACACCCAAGAATAATCTACCCAACAAAATGATACAACTAAACGCTCTTCTGCCTGTTTGATTGATCCTTTAGTTGATTGGCGCACACGCCCTTTGGTGGTTGTGGTGAAGCTATGGGCCCAATATCATGACATTAATGATGCCAAACGCATGACCATATCCAGCTATTCGCTGGTACTGATGGTCCTACACTATCTACAGCATGGCTGCACACCGCACGTGCTGCCATGCCTGCACACACTCTATCCAGAAAAGTTTCAGCTCGGGCAGCAGGATTGCTTCGATTTGAATCTGATTGAAAACATTGACGCGTATCCCACACAAAATCAACAGACGCTCGGTGAGCTCTTTCTTGGTTTCTTCAAGTACTACAGCCACTTTGAGTGAGTAAATGAATGGAGGAGCATCATCATCATCGAGCTATATGTATTTAATTGCTTTTAGTTTTCGTAACCATGCCATTTCGGTGCGCACGGGCGGTATACTGCCAGTGAGTGCCTGTCGCCTGGCCAAGAGCTACAAGAACGATGCCTATCAGTGGAAGGAGCTTAATATCGAGGAGCCATTCGATCTGTCCAACACGGCACGTTCTGTCTACGATTTTGCCACCTTTGAGCGTGTCAAGGCCACCTTTGTGGCCTCAGCCCGTGCGCTGGAGCCAACGCTGGATATCGGCTCAGTGTTTAGTCCCATTTTTTCGGGTAATCAGTTTGGAAACCAGCCACAGTATAGCCACGGCCACAGCCACAGCCACGGCCAGTCACGCGGCGGCGGCGGCGGCGGAGGAGGAGGAGGAGCTGCTCCTGCTGCTGTCAACAACAACAAGAACAAGAATATGTCGCCGGCATCTGGGTGGGAATATAATCGTAATGTGATACGTCCAGTGATTGTTGCCAATGTTATGCAGAATGGCATTTTAAAACGTTATATTATCAAGTGATTTATGTGATTTGTATCCAAGTAATAATAATAGAATGAACCCATAGAATGTACTAGGAGGAGGGGGCTATAGGGGGTTGTAGGAATGGATAGCTCCACCCAGTAGCCAATCAAACGAATTTTTAAACGTGTGACATACTAGTTTATACGACTAAGAAATAAGTGCAATAATGGAAAGCATTACTTGGGAATTACTTAAGTTTTCTTTCGAGATTCCACTCAGGAAACTCAGGAAAGGGAGGCATTTTAGATCACAGAAAGCACTGAGGCATAACGTACATGGGGTACCCATTTTAGAGCACCTAAGGTACAGAGTAAATCATTTAAGACCAAACAAAAGTGCACAGGCAATCGCTTTAGACCCATTTAAATGTGAGAATATTTGATAAAAGCAATAATAACAGAGTTCCTTTTAGCTTGGGAGATTTATAGCCTTTAGATTTAAATTCCAAAAGGCTACGTAGTCTTTCGACTGAACACAAAGTGCATTAGATGCAAACGCAAAACCATATTTGTATCCAAAAATAAGCCAATGAAACGTGCAATACAAATTGTATTATTATAAACTAAAGAAGAGGTATATATATTATATATATACCAAAGGCACAACTTGTGTCAGGGGCTATAAAGTCTAGCTTTTTTATGTTTTGTTTCGTATGTTTTGTATGTATTGTTGCGTCTTGTAATTAGAGATACCAAAGCACTTTTTTAAATCTCATAAATCTCATCTTTTTGCAGATAAAAACAAACGAAACTAAACACTTAAAACACAACACACTCCATGATTGGGAAAACAACCAACAAGCAAACAAAACAAAAAACAAATACCAAAACTAATGTATTTCAAACAATCTTGTAAATTAATATTCAAAGATTACCACGAGACAAGATGAAAACCACCCACAAGCACACGCAAAGCGATCTGAAAGAACTATTTATGCGCCGCTGTGTGGTGCGCCCGTCCTGTGTGTGTTTTCTTTGAATTTTAATCGCTTCTATTTCGTTAAATGTTATTTACTATTCCTCCTCCCCTCTTCATTATTTATACAAAAATGTTTACATAAATTAATTTCAATTCCAATTATTGTGAACATTCCACGCGGAGCCCGAACAGAACTCCGCTCCATGTGGCATGGCTATCTCACTTTTTTTTTTTTTTTAGTTCAATAATGTCATCCGAAAACTGTATGCCCAACGCAAGTTCTGTTCCAATCCAAATATACACAAAAACACCCACACCCAAAAAAAGTAAGCCAACAAATGTAAAGTTTTAACGAGTTTTGATCGATAGATGGGCTGGCATTACAGAGAGAGAGAGGGAGTGACACCTATGCAGCCTTTGATTACACTGGGCACTGGGTAACTATTTAGCCATCGATCGACCCACAGTCCAGAGGAAAACCCCGATGCGCAGGGTCCGCAGATTTTGTTGTCTTTCCCTTTTTTTGGCATCAAAACTGCCATCAATTGATGAGATCAGAGCTGTAACAGTTGTCTCCCCATCCATAGTGCGACCCGATGATGGATTCTTTGCCTCATATCCGAGTAAGAAGTGCTTGGAAGTGCCTGCCCCAACTAAATTTATTTCTTTTCGTCTACCCACAGAACCCAATAGAAATGCAACTCATTTGGTTTTGGCTTTGTCGCAAATGAAAATTGTAATTCTTTATTGAAATGTTTTCCCCCGCCAAAAAACAACCGAATTAAATGTATTATAAAATGTAACCATTTTATTGTGTGCCTTCCTCCTGCGTTCGTTACATACATTTTTGTTTTCTTAGTGAGTGTTGGGGCGGCGTTGGGGGCGAACGAATCAACTCCACCACTTGCTTCCTTATGTTGTAGAAAAAATATACCATTCTCATTTTGTATCGTTTTAAAAACAATCGCAACAGGCATTTTGCATTTTTCTTTTATTTATTTATTTATTATAATTTTTTGATTGCAAAACTTGTAACTGTCATCCATTCAGATCCGATACGGTCAACGGTCCCATTCGGTCCACCTGTCTGTCTGACCATCTTAATGCGGTGTTTGTGTGGGTTGATTCGGTTCGGGGAGTTGTTTTTTTTTTTTGTAATTTTTTATGGTTTGGAAGGGGAAGTGTAGAAGAATCACACACGCTTATCCTATAGATATTCCATCATCATCATCATCATCATCGTCATCGTCATCGTCATCTCCGTTCTGTACCGTCTGACGATGGTTTGTTTTTTCTTTCTTTTTTTTTTTTTTTGGCAGCCTTTGATTTTTGATTTTGGGGCCGCCAGCGTTCCCATGTGATTGAAAATTTTAGTTTTGTTTTGTTTTGCTTAACCATCGACTATTTAGATTTTTTTTTTTCCTGATTTGTTATTGCTTTTTTTGCCTTTTACTTTTCTTTTGTATAAAAACGTTTCTTTACGGTTTGTTTTTCTTTTTCGTTTTTTTAGTTTTTTTCATTTCTTTCGTTTTCTCTTGGTGTGTGTGTGTGTGTGTGTGTGTTTTGCTTGTGGCAACGAATGCATACAGAAATCAATTCAGAATTCAAAGATCTACAAAGTGTGTACAACAGAAAGGCATAAAGTTGGTTGTGTGTGTGTGTGTGTGTGAGAGTTTGTGGTGTGTAAATATCCCACATCTTTTTTTTTTTTTTTTTTTTTTTTTTTTTTTTGGGGATCAGAAGGAGCTGAAGAATTGTACTGAAGGTGAGCCGCAACAAATCGTTCATGTTGCAATTCGTGTCCTTAAGGCGGGTTGGGGGGCATTTTGTTCCACGCAAAAGAGTCCGCCCGTGGAGCAGTGTGTACAAAAAAAAAACAACAACAACAACACACCTGTCATTCGACAGGGCATCATCATCATCATCATGATCATCATAACAATCATCCTTCATCCGTTTTGTGTACGCAATGTGTACAGTTGGTTGGTTGGTTGGGGGGGTGCGGGGAGGTGGCAAGGTCCTGTGTGGCCCACTTTTGTGTGTGTTTGTGGCCTGCCCCCATCGGCTGGTTTCGGGCGCGTTTATCGTTGGAAACGTCACCGCAGTTTCAGGGCCCGTCTCCGTTGCATTTCACTCCATTTATTGAGTAGCTGCGGCGGCCGCTGTGTCTGCTGCTTTCTGCTGCTTTCTGCTGAGTTTGCTGAGTCTGCTGATGCTTTTCTTTTTCCCCCAATCGCGTGTCGTCAGTTGGCTTCCCACTCTGAATCATGGTGTTCCCAAAAATGTTCTAAGTATCCGGTTATCGTTTCGCTACTGTTGCTCCTGGTTTCCGCTTTCGCCTTCTGCGCTGCCTGCTGCCCGCAGCTGCTGCCTCCTGCCTTCCATTTCTTTGATGTCTTCCAAAAAGCTGAGTGTTTTTGTTGTTATTTCTGTTGGTTGTTTCGTGTTTTTTGTTTGTTCGCTGGTAATTTCTGGTATTCATTCGTCTGTGGATCTTGTTGCTCCTCTTGCCGGATTCTCAATAAGGCTGCGAGAACTGATTCAAACTGCGTTCGCCCGACTGCAACGATAAACCCAAAGCAACAAGCAACAAGGGGAAGGGGAAAGGGAAGGAAATCAATTAAATGTACAATCAATCAATCAATCAATCAATCAATCTACTCACCACACTGAGGGACACATCTTGGGAGAGCAATCCATCCATTTGGGAGATCTGCCCATAATCCTGGGACATTTCTGGCTGCTGGGACAGCGTATATCCACCCGGCTGGGTCATCTGCAGGGACATCGTTGCCGGCTGCTGGCTAAAGGGTGTCCCAATGCCACTGCCACTGCCACTGCCGTTGCCGGTCTGATCCCCACCGCCCCGATTCTTGGGGAACTTCTTTTTGCTGCCTCCGCCGCCGGCCAAGTGGTTGCTGCTGCTGCTGCTGCTGGCTGAACCGTTGCCAACATTTGGCCCAGGATTCGCCTGTCCATTGCCTGGCCCCGCAGTGATGTTAAAACTGCCACCCGTCGACGACGTTGATGTGGACGACGCTGGCGCTGGCGGCGGACCACGGTTCTGCTTGGCCGCCGAAATGGCCTGCTGATGCTGATTGTAGAAGCGCGGCGGCAGGTTGCTCATATTCATGAACATGCCCACTGGCACGGGCATGTTGCTGAGTGCTGCCGCACCATGCTCGTTCGATATATAGCTGATCGAATCGTGCTGCATGAGTGGCGGCTGTGCGGTGGTCCAATTGCTGCCAGTGCCAGTGCCAGTGCCGCTGCCATTGCCACCCGATGTGGTGCTGGTTGCCGCGCTGCCGTAGTTGTTGTTGCCATTCCCACCTCCATTGCCATTGCCTCCGCCTCCGCTTGTGGCCATGCTTGAGGCAGCAGTCACCATGGCACCAGCATTGCTGCTGCTGCTGCCGCTGGGTGCCCCATAGCCCAGTGGCGAGCCATGATAGGGACTCCCAAAATTGCCACCGTTCTGCTGATGCACCTGATTGGAGGCGGCAATGGGACGGTTCTGATTGTAGGCGCCGCTGCGATCGTAAATGGAGCCTGGGACCATCACCTCCTTGGCATCGGCCACCATGGTGGACATAAAGTGGGCGCCCATGTTCATGGTGTTGACGAGCTTCTTGGGCTTCTGGAAGTGGATGAGCGACTCCTTCAGATTGTTCAGCGAACCCTCCACGAGCACCTTGCGATCCTTGTAAAAGTTGAGCAGATGATTCCACAGCTGCTGCTTGGCGAGGACCTTGGGATTGCCGACAATAATGATGCCATATTTGGCACGGGTCAGGGCCACATTCAGGCGTCGCGGATCGTTGAGGAAACCGATGCCCTGCCGCTCATTGGAGCGCACACACGACATAATAATGATGTCCTTCTCGCGGCCCTGGAACGCATCCACGCTGGCAATCTCAATCTCCTGGTAGAGCCGCGAGTGCAGGCTGCCCTGATACTGCATATACTGCACCAGATACGCCCGCTGTCCCTCGTAGGGCGTGATGATGCCAATCTGTTCGGGCTTGATGCCCGCCTTCAGGAAGCGCGTTGTAATCTTCTCCACATTCGCTGCCTCAGTGCGATTGAGGAACGAAGTGCCGGAGCCGGCAATTTCCTCCTGGCCCTGGGTGACAAGGAAAAACATTGGCCTCTCCGGCTGCGGCCAGGGAAAGTCCAGCTTGAGGCGTCGATCCTCGGCACAGACGCCGTTCTGCAGCGATCCCTCGTAGAAAAAGTTTGAGGGGAACTGCGACAGCTCCGGGTGCATGCGATACTGCACCTCGAGGCGGAAGGGGCGTATGCCCAGCACCACCAGACGTTCGAACAGACTCTGCGATAGGCCCGCGCGTGCCGCCTTCTTGCACATGACCACCGGCCCCAGTTGGCAGTGATCGCCGACGAGAATCAGCTGCTTGGCGCCCAGCACCACGGGCACCATGCACTCGGGCTCTGTGGACTGCATCGATTCGTCAATCAGAATGGAAGTGAATTTGATGCGCGACAAACGGCCATCGCCGGCGCCCACGCAGGTGCAGCAAATGACATCGGCCGCCTCCAGCAGTTGGTTCTCGGTGCCGCGCTTCAGATTGCGGTAGCGCTTCTCATCCGCCGAGCTGAGCTCTCCGGTTTCGTCCTTGAGCTGTTGCAGCTTCTTTAGCTCCGTGTTGGTCTCCATGCTGCGGATCTGATTGTGCAGTGCCAGAAAGCTGACCGGACTGTCGATGGCCTCGCGGCTCTTGGCACAGACGCGCACCACCTTCAGGTTGGTGCGATGGATCTTCTCTGTCAGCTGGTCGACGGCCGTGTTGCTGGGGGCGCACACCAGCACAGTGCCACCGTGCTGCTTCACCAGCTGGTACACAATGGTGGCCGAGGTCACCGTCTTGCCAGTGCCCGGGGGACCCTGGATAAGGCTCAATGGTCGCTGCAGGGCATGCTTGACCGCGTACACCTGACTGCGATTGAGGTCCGGCAAGTTGGGGGCACTGAACAGCTTCGGTTGGACGCCGCGGAAGAGCACATCATCGTTGGCATCGGGTCGGCCGTGGCCCAGCAGGCGCGAGTAAATGAAATTCGACACCGAAGTGCGATCCATGGCAAAGTTGCGCAGGGCGCGCGTCATGCGGTCAAAGGAGGTGCACTTCCAGATAAAGTCCACCGAAAAGTTGCTGGAACACTTGACCGGGGCATTAGTGGAGGACTTCAGCTCCAGGCCGATGTCGTCACCAAAATTGTCAGGCACTTTAATCACATGTCCGATCTCGTTCCACGGACTGTACATCTCGCCCACGTACCGCAGACGCAGCTCGTCGCCGTGCATCAGCTTCATGTCCGAGTCGGTCTTGGCCAGGGTGAAGTAGGCGATGGTCTTCTTGTTGAGGCCCACATCCCAGCGCACCTCGATGTTCTCCTGGGTGGCCGACTCCTTCAGCTTCTTGTCGTAGTCGGCCTCGAGGCGCACCAAGGGGCCGAATGTCTTCTCGTACTGATAGCCATCCTCGTAGCGCAGCAGCACCTGCGACGGCTCCGAATCGATGCCTGGCTTCTCCAGGTCCTGGAACGTCGCATCGATGTTGTCCTTCCAGAGCTCCTCCAGCTTGTTGATCTGCGCCGCCGAGATTTGGCGTGCCCGCAACTGGCCCTGCTCGCTGGGCTGCTTCACCAGCCAGGGCAGAAAGCAGCGATCGGCTATCAGCGGCTTCCACTGGTCCTGATCCCAGTTCATGTCCTTCAGCGAGTTCTGGGCGGCACATGGCTGGCGGCACAGCAGCACCACCACGGAATCGGCCTTGGCTGGTATAAAGCCCAGCACAAAGACATTGCGTACGCCGCACGAGTAACACTCGAGCACCGTCTCGCCCAGGGGGCCGTCGGCATGGAGCGTCACCTCGCGATGCTTGGCGCGCACCAGATGGTTGATGATGTGGGAGCCGGAGGTGCTGCCGCGACCATTGCAGAACCACTTCTTGCAGTTGTTGCACATGACCACAGTGGACGGATCATGGATGCCACAGTACTTGCAGGCATGCGGCGGCAGCTCCTTCACATACGAGCCGCCATGCTCATCGTCCTCCTCCTCGAACTGCAAGTCGCCGAGATCGTTTGTGATGCTGGCCAAACGTGGATGCATTTCTCCAACCGAGCGGCGACGCTGTTAACAATATTTTGTTTGTTTGTATCAAATATTTATATATATTTATTGTTGTATTTAAATGTTGGAATGTTGGGCAAATGTCAAAGCCAGCTTTTGTGACCTGACAGCTGCTGCTGACACACACACACACGCACACACATGCACACACATGCACACGAGATACTCACACTTATTTCCATCAGGTCGCCCTGCGTCTGGCTCTGGGAGTTCGAGGGCATGGTAAAGTCACGGTAGTCGTACTGGGTCGGCTGCGTGTCAGCACCGGGCATCAGCTCGTTGTCGTCCAAGTCCAGGAACGACAGCGCCGAGCTGGGCGCATACGTGTCCACGCTCATGACGCGGTCACAGTGGCTGCTGGCTGCTCTTCCAAAATTGTAATTGTGGCGGCGGACACGGTGTTATTGCCGTGTTTTTGCTGCTGCTGTTGCTTACGGTTGCTTCTTCTTCTTCTGCTGCTACTGCTGCTTGTTCTTCTCACCCTCGCACGCACCGACGACGACGGGGCCAATCGGTAGGGCTTGCGCGCTGCTTCGGTGTGGAGTGTGGGTTTTTTGTTTTGTTGGCAATTTTTTTTTTTTTTGCTGCTGTGCTGCCCACGCGCTGTGGCAAAACCAAAAACAAAAATAAAAACAAAACAAAAAACAGGGAATAGAGCGGAAATATTTCAAGGTGCTGGACCAAAGGGATTTTGCGCGTGAAATAATGCTCTACTCTCGCGGCGCGTTAAGCATGCCACACGCCAGAGCCTATCTATGGTGAAAAGTGTAAGTCAATGCACAACAATCTTTGAACTTTTGTGTTTCCGAAACGAAAGCGGTCTGACGTACGTAATGAAAATAAAAATAAACTGTTTCCCAGTCGCATGCCCAGCTATAAATTAAATAAACTGTTTCCCAGTCGTAGAGGTGTCAAACCAGAGAGGGCACTATCGATAGTATCGATATTTTGCTGCTAGCCTCTACTATCGATGGTTTTGAGACCATCATGATAGTATCGAGCTACAGTCGTTGCGCTTTTGATATGTTTGGATTGGCTGCTATAAAATACGAAGACAAATTTGTAAACAAATCGACAGGTGGCATCTAATTTTTACAATGGACAAGTTCCTAAAAGGTTTCAATGGTTTTTTAATAATTATTCGAGCCCCGATACTATTACGATAGTATCGATTGTTTTTTCAAAACATTCAAAACTATCGATGGCTCAACTATCAATCGTTTGACAGCTCTAGTTTCCGAAGGACAGACAGACCAGACCCACAAGATTTATCAAAAAAATATACCGCCTGACCCACAGAAATATACCCAAATATACCATGCCATTTTCAAAATATACCGTAAATAACCCGAAGAAAAACGGGACTTAGCCCACTTAATACCCTTCTATTTAAACAGTGAAAACCCTTTAATTAAGCCACTGAAAATAATATTGCTTGTAAATTTTTCTTTTAGATCCATCTCATTAGTTAAACACACAAAAATTGGCATGATATCTTTCACCAGAAATAAGTGAAAAATGTTTCAAGTTTCATAATATTCGTGCGTAAATCGAAATAGCCCTGGTCGACAATGGGTTAGGCGGGCCTGTCCATGATCGGAAATAATATTCCTCGATTTTGAAATTCGGTTTCATATTACCAGTCAGCTGAGACTCTCAGCACTGAAAATATAACACTCTCCGATTTATGAATCTATTTTCTACCACAACGGATAGTTTTAGGAATTCCCAATTATTGAATTGTTTATAAAATAAGGTTTAAGCAAAACATGTCAAAGCATAAACCGTGAGTGTGGACGGAATGTGGAAAAGCATGCAGGGAAATCGAGTAAAATATACCGATGCTTCGATGTATCAAAAATTAGGTTGACTTATCTCAAATTTGATGATTTCAGAAGTATCTTTTTTAGAAGTGCTGATCCAACCAATTTCTACTAGAAATTGACAGGAATTCTACATTCTACATTTAACGTGCAGCCAGCCAGTATCGATGTACAAAATGCAACTCTGCTGCGAATTGCGCGCCAGGCGGTTTCCTTCTTTTGAGTGGGAAATAATATATTTTGTGTTATTAGAAAACAAAACTAATGCTTGCATACACGTACAACGTGTTGTGGATTATAGAACCATTCTTATCATTGCAATGTGTGATAATTCTGTAAAATAAAAGAAATAAAAATTTGTAATCAATTTCTTTTCAAAAATCAAAACGCTTGTTGTCCAATTGAAGTATGTTTGGCTTGCACAATTTTACTACTCTTGTTATAAACTCAATATACATATGTAATATCGAAACACCGATATTGATATTAAATATGGCTTTATTTCTAGCCGGCGAATACTTTATAAAGTTTTTATGGCACAGTACTTATCGAACAGATGTACTTATCTATGTGCGCTATTTAGTTGATAAACATCATTGAACGATAAGAAAATTATGCAGTATAAATTATATTCAATTGCGAAATTCTATAACAATGTTTGGTATGGGTGTGGTGTGCACGCTCCAAGCACAAAAACCTGTTTTTGAAATTAACCATAGCCACCACCAATCGGCGCCTGGCTCCCACATCCCCCCACCCACCGCCACACACAGCCGCGCTTGATATTCTATTCTGGTCTGCCCACACGATCTACGCAGTTTGTCTTATGAGTGCATCAATTAAGCTCTGTTCTCTCACTCTCCACTCTCTGCTAAAAACACAGAGAAAAATCAAGCAAAGTGTGGCTGCAGAATTAGTTTTGTTTTGGGTTGATTTGACTATTTCAAAATTTCATTACGCTTTGCAGCAGCAAACATTTTACGAGTATTGTGCACAAGATTGTAAATAAATACGCTTGAATCGGCGATCTGCCGCCAGCAATTAGTGATAAGCCCGCTATCGGGGCTTGGTACCCCCCACTCGTATTGTTTGTTTGCTACTCTCTCACACTCTCTCGTGTCCAGCCCCAGAGGTGGATATTACGCTGCTGGGGCTACAAGAAGCGCTCAATAGTCGGGGCAGCCGCACAAACGCTTCGTAGACTTCAGTGCGAACGGACATAGCGTAGCACAGACACGGAATACGGAATAATAATACGGAATAATGATTCTGATTACTTTGGCCCTGGGGCTGGCCACGGTCGGCCTACTCTATTTGCTGATGTCCTGGAACTTTAACTACTGGCGGAAGCGTAGAGTGCCGGGACCCAAGCCGAGGATACCCACTGGCAATTATCCGAACATGTACAATCTGAAGCGGAATGCGATCTATGATCTCAATGACATCTATGTGTAAGTGGCAGCAGGCAACCAATCGAAACACATTCCCACCCACACTCTACGGTCTTGCAGCAAGTACAAGAACAAATACGATGCTGTGGGCATATTCGGGGGACGTGTGCCACAGCTGCTGGTGGTTAATCCAGAACTGGCACGTCGTGTGTTTGTCGCGGACTTTAAGAGCTTCCACGACAACGATATAGCCAAAATGATCGACGAGAAGACCGACTTTATCTTCGCCAATAATCCATTCTCGCTGACGGGCGAGAAATGGAAGCAGCGTCGCGCTGATGTAACCCCCGGGCTGACCATGAGTCGCGTGAGTCGAATCAGTCCTTTGCCCCAGAAGGCCAGTGGATAACTCTTATTCCACACTTAGATCAAAACGGTCTATCCGGTGACGAACAAGGTGTGCCAGAAGCTGAGTGAGTGGGTCTACAAGCAGATACGTCTGGGTGCAACCGAGGGCATCAATGCCAAGGACGTAAGTACCGGCTCCCCACCCCATTCAGAGTCCCCTCGTAACCATTGAGTCCGTCTGCAGATGAGTCTCTGCTTCACCTCTGAGATGGTCACCGACTGTGTGCTGGGTCTCAGTGCCGAGAGCTTCTCGGACAATCCCACACCCATTATGGGCCACATCAAGGATCTGTTCAATCAGCCGTGGACCTTCCTCTTGTATTTTTTGGCCGTCAGCACTTTCCCCTCGCTGAGCCGCCTGATCAAGCTGCGCTTTGTGCCGCCCAAGGTGGAGCATTTCTTTGTGGGACTCATGGAGAACGCTGTGCAGACACGGCGCGCCCAGTTGGCCAGTGGTACTCAATTTGAGCGCACGGACTTCCTCGACTATATACTGCAGCTGGCCGAGAAGCGGAACCTGGACACACGCCAGCTGTTGGCACACACCATGACCTTCCTGCTGGATGGGTTCGAGACAACGGCCTCGGTGCTCGCCCACATGCTGTTGCTGCTGGGACGCAATCCTCAGGAGCAGCAGCGCTTGCGAGAGGAGATCCAGGCTCATGTCAAGGACGGCATTGTCAGCTTTGAGAAGCTAAATGATTTGCCCTTCCTCGATGCTTGTGTGCAAGGTGAGTGAACCCTTCATCCATATGGTGCATAATATGTGTGTGAGTTTTTTTTGTGTGCTTTCCCATTCCCATGCCCAGAAACGATTCGCATTTTCCCGCCCGCTTTCATGTCCGTCAAAATTTGCACCGAGGCCATTGAGCTGCCCAACAAGGATGGCCCCAATTTCACCGTGGATGTGGGCACCAGCGTTGTGATACCCCACTACTGCTTTATGTTGGACGAGGACTACTTCCACCAGCCGCAGTCCTTCCAGCCGGACCGTTTTATGGAGCCGGATGCGGCCAAAAAGTTTCGCGAAAATGGCACCTTCATGGGATTCGGTGAGGGTCCACGTATCTGCATTGGTGAGTAGTGGGTCAGAGGATCACTTGAGCAAAGGAAATACTCAATGCATATTGTTCCTCCATACATATAGGCATGCGCTTTGCCACGGCTCAGATCAAGGCGGCTGCTGTTGAGCTAATCAGTAAATTCAAGATCAAGGTGAACCCCAAGACCCGCAACGACAACCTCTATGATCCCGTGAGCTTTATCACCTCATTGCAAGGTGGCATCTGGTTAGATCTCGAGGCGCTTTGAATGCCACAAGCTCCACCCACCCACACGCCTCACGCCTCACGCCGCACGCCCCACGGCATAACCCCACCACTGATGGGCAACCGCTTTTCGATATGTTTTTATTAACGTTTTTTGTTTGTTTGTGCTTGTGTGTGTATTTGTTTTGTTTGATTAAATATAATGAATGTCAATTAAGGAAATTGCTGAGCGCTGATAAAAATGAATGAGTGGGGGGGTACGCGCAAGCGGCACGAGTAAGGGTATTATTATTATATATAATATACCCGTATAAATACTGATAATATTTACTCGCATATGTAGATTTGCAATCGAACTGTCAGACATTATAGTGCACTATTTTGTACGCGAATTACCTTTTAATTTGACACATCAAATCTATTAATTGTGAATTCCATTTTTAGCTGGAATCATGTTCAAATAATCGACTAAAGATTACGAACTGAAGGCAGATTAGCATGGGCGATAATAGCAAATAGAATAATAAATAAGATTGTTAGGAATATTTGAAATGATTACAAATAATTTTATTCAGCTTGCACAAAAAACATTTAATATATTTATGGGTAAATATAATCATTTCTTTTTCACCTGTTATCCCTATAGAATTCATTCACAATCAAAATTGACATGCTAATGGTATCGTATAGTTTTACGGCTATTGGGCCTAATCAATATATATTTTTTGGTCATTAAAGACTTTCAAAAAGGATCGATCAGCGCCCAAAGGAACTGACATACCGTTCTACTCTGCATAGTAATGATAAACCATTACTTAAATGGTCCTCACTGTTTACTTGCCATCAGTTGACATTTTATATACTCTTCTACAGTAGCGGTACATACATATACATAAGCATATACATATACATATATTTGAGCTTAATCTACTGCAGCGGGGTGTCCCAAAAAGAAGGATTTAATTGTATTCAGAGCCATGTTTGGTGAGCTCAGAATAATCGTCGCATCATCGGTAGCAAAGCGAACTGTTTGCCTGACAAAAATAAAATATCAAATGTTTGAATCATGTCTTGTTAAACATTTAATATTAGCTACCAATATTAGTTACCTCACAAGATTATCCCTTTGGCATACCACTCATTCTGTTGCTGATCATTGGGAACTTCTGTATACTCCTGTGAGGCATTTACACCACAGCCAGCACCTTGCATCTCGCACTAAATGATATCTGTAAATTGAGTGCACAAAATATGAATACCTGAATATCTAAAAAATGTATATTGAAGCTACTTACATTTGTGTCTGTGCGAACTGCACAAAATTATACATATTTTTGGTGCTCTTTCTCCCTCTTTTTGCAGGATAAGCGAACTCTTTCTTGTACTTCCGATGCCTTAACCTAATCTCTACTTGCTTATTGTCTATTTTGTAAGCTCTTATTATATAACTTAAATTTACAATAAATATTTTATATAGTTGCAGTTTTCATTCATACAAAAAACATTTATAGAAATCTGTGTGAATTTTTGACCTTTTTAAGCAAAATAATAGAATATAGAATAGAGTATAGTATAGAGTATAGTATATAGTATAGAATAAAATAGAATAGAATATAGAATAAAATAGAATAGAATCTGTATAATTTAGAATAAGATTAAGCAAACATTGAGTTGGTTTCCATTTAATTTGTTGCCCCATCTGATGACTTCAACGCTTTACGCTCTTCTCCTAGACATTTTTTCGTAGTACTTGATCGCCGACTAACTGCTTAGGCAACAAACAATGTTGTACGATTATAAATATGAAAAGAAGAGCATAAAACACTGAAGTCCAGATGCTATGATATGACCTCTGTCTGTGGTGTCCCTGTAGAACCGAACCCCCTCCCAAGGCATATGAAAAGCTGTTCGGGTGGTATTGGTAATGGTTGGAGCATAAGCCACAGAGTGCTAAAGGATTATGATGAACACTGATAGTCAATCATGAAAATAGAGGTAGAGAGTAAAGTTCCAGCAGACAACAAAAGACAAACTCTTTTGTTGACTGGTGGAGACCTTTCTCTCTGCACCTACATTCATCATTGACTATGATTGGTCGTGGAGCTCTAATAGTATATATTGATTGGGAGCATAAGTCCCTAAGGGAGTCAAGATTCTGTGCGAAACGGAAAGTTAGTGTTCAAGCCAAAGGTGGATAGTTGAGATGCATCAAACAACAATAGCGTGAAAACACTTCTGGTGAATGGTGAAGCTCATCTTTCCACCTCAAACTCAAACAGTATCTCTCGGTTCTACGCAGAATCTTTACTGCCCCAAGGCCTATGCTCCCAACTCAATATAAGAGTGAATGTAATGAAATATTCATTGAGGGATCGCTGGGAGTCCTGGTATGCCATTGAGAGCGTATGGTGGACGGACGGTTAGTGTTGCAGTCAAAGGCGGAGAGTAAAATGACAGCAAACAATGGAAAACGTTTTCGCTTTAATTACCCGGTGCGATTCTTCTCTCCAACTCCGACGCCAACACTCACTGTTCGAACACCATAGACTCCTCCCACTGTGCCCACGACTCTTAGGCTCTCAACAATCAATATACATACATCTGAATTAATATGCAATTTTTGTGTTGTATACAATGTGTATGTTGTGTAAAACATTGAAGTTCTATGACAGGCAACAGACAACCCGCTTACTTGCACAGGAAGAGGATTGCGTGCGTCCCGTCGTAGAGCTTCAATGTTTCACAGCAAAGGGACCAAATGTTGGGATCGTTACCCATATATTGGTCGAAGCTTCAGTCCTGGAGACGCCTAGATTCAGAGGAACAGTGACAGTTAGTATTGCGGTTAGCGGCGGAGAGTAAAATTCCAGCCGAAAACGAAAGCAATTTCTTTGGTTGCGTGCTGAGATTTTTCTCTCCATCTCTAACTCCAATACTAACTGTAAATGCTCATCAGAATCTAGACGACTACATGAGTCATGCACCAACCAATCTATGCATAACGATCCCACAGCTGATATGCCACAGCAATGCCATCGTTGCCTAGAAAAAAAAAAGAAAGCAAAATGATTTATAATTTTTTTTTTGTTTTGGTTAGATTTTATTTTATTTTTTTTAAGAACTTTAAACAAATGGCGTTTTAATTTTTTTAAGTTTATTTTTTTTGCTTATCAGACGTAAGCTTGCGCTATTCCATATTACTTGAAAGCGTTACACCTTGTTTTGAAGAACCTTGAAGTTCTGAAAAGCCAAGAAATGCAGCTATCAATGGGCTTTAAAAACTTTATAGCCGAAGCTGGCTGTCTCTATATTTTAGAGACGGTAAGCCTAAGCTATAAAGTTTTTTAAATACCAATCGATAGCTGCATTCGTTAGCTTTTCAGAACTGCAAAGTGCTTCAAAACAAGATGTAGCACACCCAAGTTATATGGCTAAACGCAAGCTTACCTCTGGGAAAAAAAAACATTAAAAATAAATATAAACTTTTTTTGTGTAATTCTTCAAGATCAACTTTAAGCATACGAAAAAAACATAATTCAGAAAACATTTGGTCAGTTGATTTTTGGTTGATTAAAAGATCACAGGTCCTGCAGGCAGTTGGAGACCGGGCAACACTGACAGAGATAGGGGAGGATAAGGTGGAGAGTAAAATGGCAGCAGTCAGCGAAAGCTCCTACTTTGGTTGAGTGATGCCATTCTACTCTCCATCTCAAACCCCAACGCTATCTGTTATTGTTCCTCAGAATCCGACTGCCTCAAGACCTATAATCCAAAATAAAATCGATACAATTTTCAGGGTTAACTAATCCAAAATTTAATTACAAATCATACATTTTTAATTCGATTTTTTAATTTAGAAAAAAATATTATGTAATAATTTTAGGGGAATTGAAAAAAAAAACTCTCTGAGCATTTATTGTCAAACCAAATGAGTTCGTTAGTTTACTCTAAATAATTTTTGGGGCATATACTCGTACACACACAACTTGCTGCTACTCAAGAGACGGAGGAGGGACGAAGGAGGAACTTGAAGCAAGAATAAACTACAGACACAGACTCAAGCACTCAAAAATGGCTCTCCAGCTAACTCTCAACACATTACGCATTATGTACACAGGCGCTTCACACTCCATGGTGGAAGGCATTTTGCATCGCATAAAGATTGGAATAAACTCCGTTTGTACGCGGATTTTGGTGGGTGGTTTTACATCACCCGCTTTTGTGGCCATCGCTATGTTTGGGACATTCGATCTTATCGAGGAGCATGGTGATAATCGACCAATATATTTGCCACCTCACTTTACACAAATAGACCACAATCGTTTTATTGTTAACTAAAATCAAAACTCATTTTCGCCACTCCACTCATCCGAAATGCCCAATGTATATTAGTGACAAATTCTCAACAAAATTAATTCAAAGAATTGAAAAGGGTACCAAATTAATAATCAAAATTGAATGCAGACATATTTTAATCTCAAACTATTAGACTCTCGAATCATCCTATCAAATAAAACCTGTCAGAGCTAGAAACCTCCACGTTCGCTGCTTATTTAGGGGGAATAAAGAATATTCTGCAAAATTATCTTTGCAGAATAATGAAATTTTAGAAAAAAGGATTAAGATTTAAAGGGTATAAAAGGATATAATAGAAGGTGATAACATCAGAATTTACAGAATAATTGAAAGATTTTAGAAAGATTTTTCTTGTAATCCATAGATAATTAATTGCTCATACGCACTGGGGTCTTGAAGCAAATGTAATATACATGTAGATAAATGTGTGATGTGTTTGTGTAGTGCTTATAGTTGTGTAATATAATAATAATGTAATGTAATGTAATAACGTCTACTTATGTATAATGTTAAGCGTAAATTTCACCCTTATATGTAATGTATGTACAAAAGAATAATAATTTACGTGTACAAAATGTCGAGTAAATATCTCGAAAGGACTAGTTTAGGTACTCGATCATTTTACATACATTGCATGTATGTAGGATAAGTATAAGTGTTAGTATAAGAGTATAACTATGTTAATTTGAACTATCAAGTGCTACTACTTTTTGTAAGCTACTTTGCGTGCATTAAAGTATTAAATGGTAAAATTATGCTTAAAAACTAGATAAAATAATTATGTAAATATATATTCGAAAAGGTATAGAGAAATGTGCAGTGCAGAATCTATTCATAAGATAATATATGTATATATGTATATAAGATTTAAAATAATATTCATATTATATATTGAATAATATATGTATGCATGAATGTATATATTCTTAAAAGTAAATAAATCTAAGGGGTTATATATAGAATTGATTATGTATATGGATATATGTAGGTATGTTTCTTAATTATGGCTTAATTAAGTTGCATAAACAAGTTCTGTACGAGTGTGTTAACTTGAATAGCCCATTTGTATATAATACTTATAAATATTCAGTGCAAAATGTGCAAATGAAAGAAATTATAGCTAAAATTGTTGCTTATGTGGAATAATTATATTATGCTTAGGTCTAGATAAATATGCAGTGCAGAATATATGTATGTGTATTTGTAGTGCAAGTGTTTTATCATATGAATAAATTGAGTAAATAGTTGTATATGTAGGTACATATAGCTGTACATAAACTTATTAGCTAATGGCATAAACTTTCATAAACAAGCGAACCTGAGAGTTCTTCCTTTTTTTAATTGAAAGTTAAATGCTTGAGCTGAACGAACTAATAATTGTAATACTGAGGGTACAAGCCACAAATCTACATAGATTCTGGGTTTAAATCAAATAAATAAATGTTATTAAAGTGAGATAAGTATCATTAATATTAATTAATATTAATGTAGTGTAAGTATCTTATGTATCTATGTTAGTTACAAAAAATTAAAAGAAAATAATTAAAATGTGCAATGCAGGATGAGTTTTTTTAGAGAGAGAGAAAACAAAATTGACTTAAAGTTGTGTCCTTATTCAATAATAGCATAAACCATCCGAAATACCAGCAAAGCTCTGGCATTTATATTTGATAGCTTAAATGCGTGAGTATATGCAAACAGTAAGTAGATTCCAAATGAACAAAAATATCAAATACTTAAATTAAAAGCAATATTAATTAAGGTATTTTGTTACTTAATTATGATACAAATAATATGCACGTGGAACCTGTTGGCTAACATGCTAATATTTGCAAATGTAATTGTAATCGTATAAACTTGTATCAACATTCAGAAGAGCTCCAATATGGCCAAAATGTTTTGTGACTTCTACTACTCCTAAGTATTACCTATGTCGAATACTAAATGAAAGAATATCAAGAGAATCCATGTCCATAGATTCATTTTTGATTTGAGACTGAAACTTATAATACTAGCAATACCGCACACATATAAAGATGTAATAACTTCTATAGAATCCTTAATATACCTACATAATTATATGCATATGTATGTATGTATGTACACTAGATTAATTTGATTTTAATTTTTAATGAATTGAAGACCATACATCTCTTTTGGCTGGAGTGCACAGTGTACTTGCAGTAGCTATGGTTACAAATCCCTCGCCGACAAATAAGGGGGGTGGGGTGGCCTACCAATGCGCTCGGAAATTTCGCAGCATGTGGGAGGGCCCCCGCCCCCGCCTCCTACTCCTTTTTTGATGCTGCCTGTTTCTGTTTCTGCTGCTGCTGCTGTTGTCTGTAATTTCGGATTGTGGTTACAGTAGCTGTTCACTTTGGGTGTTCGCAAAATGCAAACTGAGTATTTTGTGATGGGTGGTGATGTGGGTGTTGGTTGCGTTTGGGGGAATCTTCTAGATTGCCTCCTAGAATAGTCTGCAAAATTATCTCAAGCTAAATATTGTATACATAGTTTATTTCATTGCATATCACACTCACTTTTTTAGTTTTTTAATGCACAATTTGTAGAATTTCCATTTAAAATGTTTAGTTAGTATTGGATCAAAAAGGTGATCTGTAAATATTTTTCTGGTAAGTTTTTAGTAGCAGATATTTATATGTATGTGTAATACTTACGTTTCGGTTTTTTGCTGTGCTTAAAGACCGTTACATATATCGAGTGCTCCTCATAGTCCGGGCTTTGCATCGTTGAACAGTTTTGGTAATTAAACATTTTTCTTTTTTAAATGATTGAAACCCTTTTTTTTAATTTTTGTGTGTCAATTATGTTTGCTTGATTAAATTTTATACTTTTAAATTTAAATTTATTGAAAAATTGGTTTTTTTTTTAATCTGTATTCAAGCTGCGCTAATAATTGTTTTTATTTTTTAATTGCTTTAAACATTTGCATATACAATATATGTATACACATATTGACCTGCATTTTCACAGGTCAGACACTCATTTTAAACTTTGATTTGATTTTAATTTTTGTTCTTGATTTATTCACTTGTTGCATATATATTTAAAAAAAAATTTATTTCACACCAACTGCACGGCACCGGACACTTGTTGAAAAATTTCCCATTTTGATTTTTATTTCTTTTCGATTGAATTCACTTGCTTAATTTATTTCTCAATGAAGATTTATTGCGTAATGCATTTTTGGCGCTGCGATTTTTCCGAAACCACGTGTTGTTGGTTATGCAAGAGCTTTACTTTGAATATTACATTAATGGAACTTCACTAGCCAATAAGGTGGCAATTTTACATTTCCGCACTGGCAAAAGCTTTCGTTGAACTTTCGGTAATAGGGTTCGCTTTTCTTTTCGCCCGTTAAAGTTTTTGGTTATTCGCGGCGAAAATGGAGTCGAAGCTGTGCTTTCGTCGAGGCTCTGCAACTGAATGAACGCTTCCTGATGTTATATGTCTTTCGCCTTAGCCCGAGCTGGGCCTGGGCCTGGGCCTGGCCCTGAGTTCTGAGCTTCGCTTCGCCCACACCGAGAACGGAGACAGTACCGAGAGTATTACAGTATTCCTCGATTCTATACTTATGGTATATGATGATTCTATATACTTATGCAGCTGTGTGTGGTGTGTGTGTGTCCGTCTATTTATTTTTGCATTTCATATAACGGCAACGACGTCCACGCATCTGACGCATAAGCCCTCGCGCCTATCCACAGAATCAAATTACGAGCTCAGTGCAGAGTGCAGGGAGCAGAGAGGCAGTGGCTGAATAAGCTGGCGCTGCACTTTTCGAATGTGCTATAATTGTGCCGCCAACGCGTTCGGAATTTATGAATTTGCGCTAGGGTTGTGTTCTGTCCTTTAAAAGATATAAAACGGAAATTAATATTCTTTAAATAATTAAAATTTCAGTTTTCCGGAATATTTTTGATCACAATTGTTTCATGGAGTTTTTGGTTTACATAAAAAAACATTTTAAATAATGTTTGTATTTTTTTTTAATTAAAATTTAATAGCGCGGAAGTTAAGCACGTTAATAAAATCTCTTATTGAAGTAATTTTTGTTTTTCAAAAACAGAAATAAAATCGATCTAAATATGAATGCATATCTGATTAGTAGGTGTTGATTCTAGGGTTTTTTTTTTATTAAGGAATAGGGAGCATAAAATTAATAGAAGAAGTTGATGACAGAAGTGATTGCAGATTAAGAATTAAGTGAGCAACCCTCACAACAAAAACAAAAAGAGTAAATTAATATTCATACCTAGGGACTAGTGCATAAACTACAATTATATCAATTTCATTAGTGTTTGGATCTTGTTTAATTATAGTAAATAAAATGTGGATTCTTTTACATTTTATTTAATAAACTTAACTTTCTTAAATTTCTTTTACTTCCCTTTTTTTATACTGGTTATTGATTTTTTTGAAACTAATTTCTTGTTATCTTAAAAACATTTTTTGGACTTTTATATTCGTTGTTCCAGAAAAGTTTCTCGAGTGAACAATTTTTGTTGGGTGTTTCAAATAATGAAATTAGCATATATATTATTTAAGTTTTCTTCTAAATGGGTTAAGTTTTATTAAAAATTAATATCACTTTAATAACAAAGAAAGCAAGAAACAATAGAGCTTACTTAACTTTTTTAGGGATTCGATTTTAATTTATTATCAAACTAGAGAGTTTTTGTTTGCTGTTGAGCTTAAAGTTTTCTTTTTAATGCTTGCTTTGGAACTTTGGATATTTGTCCAAGTGTTTTATTCACCATTTATTTTTCACTTCACTTTTATTCAACAGGATTTTTGCACAGAGAAGGAAGTTTTACTTTGGTTGAAGCTCGGAACTGAATTGAATTCTTTCTTAGGCGGCTGCATAGTCGTAACCTCAGCTTTGGCTGAGCCACGGTCTATGTAAAGAGAGTTCTACATCAGACTATACAGTGCGCGCCATTAGCCTAGCGCCGCCCTTTGACACTTTCGGTGCATGAGGTGCATATACTGATGATGCAAAATAAGCTAAGTTTTTATCAAAAAACCTCAATCAAAAATGAATGAAAATGTTCTCTAAATGTGCTCCCGCTATAAAATAATTTATATATAGTTTTTAAGATGATTTATTAAGTGCCGTTGGGTAAAAAATTTAAAATTAAAGAGGTGCTAATCTGATGACCTGCTGTGTATGGTCTTATGTATAACTCTATTCACATAGGCCGCTCTTCTCGGCATCAGATACATATATAAGTCTGTTCTCACTCTCACTCTGTCAGTGGGCGCTCTGGCGATATCTCTCTGATTATTGTACGACTATATGTGAATGCGTAGAGTACAGGTGCTCAGGCGATATCTCTCTGATTGTACATGCATATGCGTGCATGGGCGTGGGTGATCGATCTACATAGGCACCTACATTGGTATTTGGCATATGATGGATAGCTCGGAGTTGTAACATACGCCAGCCATCGAATTGCGAGCTTGTAGCCTCGCACGGTCGAGAAAAACCCGAGAGAGCATCGTTTCTGGGACCCTCTCATTGGTCAGACGTATGTGTAAGTGTTATATGCGGATCCAAAAGTGTTATACGAAAGAGGGAATGTAGAGAGAAACGTACGTAAATATGTATGCACATTTATGTACAAGTCAGGCCTCACCCTTGAATTCTTTATCATTTTCAAGGATAGCTAAATATGCAACTAGTGTACCCGTATTTTATAGTATTTTATATTCACAGGTCATTTGTCGGAATCGGCCAGATCGAAATGCTATATCACACATACATATATACCTACACATAGGGGTTAATGGGTTGAACGTACCCTTATTTCTTTGTTAATAGAAAAATGATATAGCATATCCTTGCCAGATCGATTGTTCCTATCGTACAAACAAGGATACCCTATCCTACAACGAGGATTCTCAGCTTGGTTTTTTTGATCCCAATTCTGTGCATAGTTTCATCTACGAATATTGATGATCTTATGCAATGGGCTACCTTTCCCAAGGGTGCACATATCAGCCAGGCATAGACAAAAGCGAGAATGTTGGATTGTGTATCTCTATCTACGAGTGTATCTGTAGATGTGTATATGTCTACATTCCTTCTCATATTTATTCGCAGTGAAAATTGAGTGTGGGAACCGCAGCCATGGCGCCATAACAAAAATCAGCGAATATTTTTCCAATTCCTTACCCCCTTTATCGGCTGCTTGCTACGATAGATTCGGTTTTCAAATGGGTACCGACAAAAAGTACATGGATACAAACAATTCGCCCTTGTGCGGGACTTGAATCATCGGATGTTTATGGATGATGGATAATAGTAAAATAATAATCGTTTCGTTTCTCCGAATTGAAAGCGAGAGAAATAAATGGCGTGATCGAAAAAGAGTAGAAATAATTTTATTTAAGGTGCATTCTTATGCTCGTATATGTTTCGATGTATCAAAATGGTCAATGAACATACTCGTTCACCTATTAGCCCTCCAAATGTATCTATGGGACACAGATCGCTTTCATACTGCCACGTTGCCATAGCTGATGATTGACCTGAGCACAGTGACGAATAGCCGACCAGTAGATCATTTTTAAGGAATGCACTTGAGGCTTTGCTCATATTTCTGATTTCTGTTGATTCATAGCTGCCAATTTCCTGGTATGTTTGGGGAGTCAAGTGCGAGACTCCGACTCCCAAATAAACAAACTCATTTCCCTTGAGAATAAACAACTTCCATCGAGAATCGAGCGGTGGTGTCAACCAGTGGAATAGTGAGTGAGAGAACCGGAGCCGTCTTGTGCCCAGACTACAAGTCAGCAAAAATTCCTCTCCTCAAGGCTCTCTGCCCCGTCTTTATCGTTTGTTTTCCATGATATATTCGGTTAACAAATGGATAACGGGAAAAAGCACTTGTATATGAGATTAAAAGTCAGCAAAGCTGACACTGCCGAAAGATACATTTATTGAATATGTAATCAATTGATTGACATTCTGTTTGACATCTGTGTATCTGCATTTGTGTGTTTGTATCTGTATCTTTTTATTGTGTTTTTTCATTTGAAGATCCTCTTCCTTGGCCTTCTGAATACTCGTACGTTCTGCCATAGACTTCTCTGAGTGTTCCTACCCCGCTTCTAAAGATATCTTTGGCTCTGGCTGGGCCTGCTTCTTGGGCTCTTTCTATTTTGGATGGATTGTAGATGCACTTTCGTTGGAGGAATATGGAAGGTTTCCAAGGGGATCACGAGCTGCTTAGATATTTGATTACAGAGAAATATACCTATAACCTAAGGCTTGAATATTCTTTGATCTTTTCCAACGGGCATACTGAAATGATTTCTATAAAAATATACAAATGCGTGCATTGGGGGATCATTTTTTGTGTATGTCTATGGTACACATACATATCTGCATTCCTTCTTATCTTTTGTCGGGCAGTGAAAAATGAGTGTGGGAACCGACGCCGTGGCGCCAGAATAATAGCCAGCGAAAATTCCACAATTCCCTCCCCTCTTTATCCGTCTGCTTTCAACATTAGATTTGGTTTCCTATTGTGTCTCGTACATCTGAAAAATACGTGAATATCAAGTGACTACAAGTCAGTAAACAATTTCCCCCTTTTTGCGAGACTTCAATCACCGGAAGTTTATGGCTGATGAAAGAAACCCACCGTAATGGATACTATTTATCATTTTTCAGAATATTCTATTGAAACTCAATCTGCGAGAGAAATCATTGGGGTGATAATTTATCTATCTGAAATTCTTGTCTCTTGAAAAGCATTCCTCAGACTTTGTTTACTCCAACCAGTTAGACTA